TACATGATTTCAGCAGCTCATGAAGGCGTATGTCCTTATATCATTAGTAATGTTTTTTTAATTTGGCTTACTCTTGAACCCAAATAATAATAATAATAATAATAATAATAATAAATAATAATAAATAATAATATTATTATTATTATTATTATTATTATTATCATTTATTATTATTATTATATTATTATTATTATTATTATTATATTATTATTATTATTATTGTTATTATTATATTATTTATTATTATTATTATTAAAATTTTTATTATTATTATTATTATTATTATTATTTTATCAATGTTACAGCAAGTGGCTGTGTTACAACAGTGTTACAACATGTGGCTGTGTTACAACATGTGACTGTGTTACAACAATGTTACAACATGTGACTGTGTTACAACAATGTTACAACATGTGACTGTGTTACAACAATGTTACAAAATGTGGCTGTGTAACAACAGTGTTACAACAAGTGGCTGTGTTACAACAATGTTACAACATGTGACTGTGTTACAACAATGTTACAACATGTGACTGTGTTACAACAATGTTACAACATGTGACTGTGTTACAACAATGTTACAACATGTGACTGTGTTACAACGATGTTACAACATGTGACTGTGTTACAACAATGTTACAACATGTGACTGTGTTACAACAATGTTACAACTTGTGGCTGTGTTACAACAATGTTACAACATGTCGCTGTTACAACAATGTTACAACATGTGGCTGTGTTACAACAATGTTACAACATGTGGCTGTGTTACAACAATGTTACAACATGTCGCTGTTACAACAATGTTACAACAAGTGGCTGTGTTACAACAATATTACAACAAGTGGCTGTGTTACAACAATGTTACAACAAGTGGCTGTGTTACAACAATGTTACAACATGTGGCTGTGTTACAACAATGTTACAGCAAGTGGCTGTGTTACAACAATGTTACAACAAGTGGCTGTGTTACAACAATGTTACAACAAGTGGCTGTGTTACAACAATATTACAACAAGTGGCTGTGTTACAACAATGTTACAACTTGTGGCTGTGTTAACAACAAATGTTACAAATGTGGCTGTGTTACAATCAATGTTACAGCAAGTGGCTGTGTTACAACAATGTTACAACAAGTGGTTGTGTTACAACAATGTTACAACAAGTGGCTGTGTTACAACAATGTTACAACATGTGGCTATGTTACAACAATGTTACAATATGTGGTTGTGTTACAAACAATGTTACAACATGTCGCTGTTACAACAATGTTACAACAATGTGGGTGTGTTACAACAATGTTACAACAAATTTGGGTGGTTACAACAATGTTACACATGTGACTGTGTTACAACAATGTTACAAAAATGTGACTGTGTTACAACAATTTTACAACAATTTGGCTGTGTTTCAACAATTTACAACATGTGGCTGTGTTAAAAACAATGTTACAAAATGTGGCTGTGTTACAACAATGTTACAACTTGGCTGTGTTACAACAATGTTACAACATTTTGGGGGTGTGTTACAACAAGTTACAACATGTGGCTGTGTTACAAAAAATGTTACAACATGTGACTGTGTTACACAATGTTACAACATGTGACAGGTTACAACAATGTAAACAACATTGGGCTGTGTTACAAAATGTTACAACCCTGTTGGGTGTTTTCAACAATGTTACAACAAGTGGCTGTGTTACAACAATGTTACAACATTTTGGGTGTGTTACAACAATGTTACAACAATGTGCTGTGTTACAACAAGTTACAACATGTGACTGTGTTACAAAACAATGTTACAACATGTGACTGTGTTACAACAATGTTACAACATGGGGGCTGTGTTACAACAATGTTACAACATGTGGCTGTTTTTTCAAAAAAATGTTACAACATGGGCTGTGTTTTTCAACATTTTACAACATGTGACTGTGTTACAACAATGTTACAACATGTGACTGTGTTACAACAATGTTACACAATGTGACTGTGTTACAACAAGTTACAACATGTGACTGTGTTACAACAATGTAAACATGTACTGTGTTACAACAAGTTACCACATGTGACTGGCGTTACAAACAATGTTTACAACAAGTGGCTGTGTTTAAACAATGTTACAACATGTGGCTGTGTTACAACAATGTTTACAACATGTGACTGTTTTACAACAATGTTACAACAAGTGACTGTGTTACAACAAGTTACAACATGTGGCTGTGTTTCAACAATGTTACAACATGTGACTTTTTAAAAAACAAATTTCAACAGGCTGTTTACAACAAGTACAACATTACTGTGACAACAATTTTAACAACATTGTATTGGGGGGGAGGCCAGT